CGAACACAGTCATGTACTGTAGATGAATCCTGTAATGTGTTTGTATAACCATTGGGTAGCGCTGTGGAGCTCTTTATTTTCTGAGAGAAAAGGCCTTGATCATTCTATGATGTCATCCTCAGTCAAGTTATCATATGACACACACCCTATTTGTACAGGCAGACACACACACACACACACACACACACCTACTTAATTATTGGATCTCAACTCAAATGATTAAAATAATATCTCCATGTACTTAACTGGAATCAAAGAGTAGACTGAAGCAACATGAAATTGTGAGAAACAGGAAAGTAGTGGGAGAGTTAGCCTTCGGTGTTTTGATTGCTGTGAGACTGAGGGAGCAGGGGCCCACCCAAGGGAGATGGAAGCTGTGGATGAGAGAGGAGGAGGAGGAGGAGGAGGAGGAGGAGAAGGGAAAAAAAATAGTGAGAGGTGGACAGAGAGAAGAGTGAGAGTGAGGACGAGGGGAGCGCAGAGAGGACAGTGCAGAGAGAAAACACTCCTCTTCCCCCCACGCTGTGAAATCAAATTCACTGACTCACTCTGAAGTCGTCAGCTTATCTGAAAGAGTAACGCTCACAAAAGACACCAGCAGCGCGGCGGGGAGTGTCGGGGCTTTTGGTTGGGCAATCTTTCCAAGAAGACACAACCCCCTTTTGGCCAATCACTGTTTAGACAATGACTGTGCAGACCTTTGTGGAGACATATGCAGACTGCTGAGTGATGAGTCACCAGTTAGTCAGTGCTGGATACTGCATCTGAGCCTGTTCAAATGCCTCAAGTCTTGGAAATGATTCAGGACTCATGCATCTGCACATGCTCAGATGTGACTTTCACCAGCTGTGTGAATTTAGAAGTGTTATTATGACTACAAGTCATCAAGTTTCAAGCGGAAATAGACACATTCTTTTGCTTGAACTTGAATGTGCAATGTAATGGTTACAGAATAATGACACCACTGATGTTTGGATTGGCTCCCTGAAAGCCTCACTTTCACTATAGCTACAGGTCTGTGTGCCACTGGGTACAATATCCTGGTAGAATAAAGACACAGTTTACAGCAAAAACAGTGTCAACCATTACGTCACCAAAACAGGAAGATGACAGCACTTTTGTTTTGTGCAGTAGTATATAGCTATCAGTAGCTGTCCCAAGTGACCAAAGAGTATTAATGTAAGTTCTTTGCAGTTAGCAGTAGCAGAAACAGTGAACGATGGACCAACCAAAGTAGGTAGCTAACCGCTGAGGTAACGGAAAGCAATGAAGGGTTGAAAAGTTGTCTGTTTTCCCCTTAAAAAAATGACCAGATTTTTCACTTAAGTCACTTCCTCCCTGTGTAAACAATGTCTTAAAATGATGAGATAATCTAGATATTCACATATATCATGGGCACAACAAGAGCATGGTGGTAATGTGTCATAACAAGGTAGGTTTGAGGCCTACAATCATGTTCTCCACAGTGTGAATCATAGTCACTTTGGTGATCTCCTGACTTTTCATGTGGCACCACCATCACGCCCAAGGGTGTATGCTTCATTTCAACATTGGTGGGTGGGGACGCAGATGAAACAAGGGTGTGGAGGTCCTTGTCAAACACCTTATACCTGCATTCTGGTGAATTTTTATGCATCAATTCATGGTGTAAACATCTTTAATTTTGGAAAACAACTGTGCATTCCAATACCCATACTACTATATTATATAGTATGCCAGGAAAAGATTCAGTACATCCCAATACATAGTATGTCAAATGCAGTATGCCAAAAATACCAGGATGTTCTACTACATCCAGGCTGATTTTGCGGTATGTAGCCAGCATGCTTTTCTGGTTATTCTGACCCATAATCCTCTGCACAGCAGTGTAACATTATAGTAAGTAGTAAGTCCCGATTGTGTGCACACTGCATGCAACAGTGCGTACTTTTTAAGGGCAGCTGCAGTACCTACTAAAAGTTAAAAGAAAAAGTATGTGATTTGGAACACACCCCAGAAGTCTTGTTCTACTGCCATGTTTTTACTGGAGGTGACAAATGCACATGCTCCCCCAAAATCTACACCTTTGATCATTCCAAACATTACTGATATTCAAATCAGATGTACTTTGTGTTTGCTGGTAATTAGTAAACGTCTAGCATGCTAACCTACTTAGCTAGGATGGTTAACTTGGCAACATCAGCGTGCTAGCATTGTCTTTGTGAGCATGTTAGCATGCTAACATTATTAGCTCATAGCTCTTGTTTTCCAAATATTCTCTACATTAGTTAGGAGGAGTTAAAAACAACTTAAAAAAGGGGAAATCACTCATTAGCTGAGCTGCTGACAGCTCCTAAACATATGATGACGGGTCACAAGTAGACATTGCTTCATTTTAGGTGGTCAAAGGTCAAAAGGTCTGGGGACTAGAGTATTAAACAGATCATGGACACACTGTGAATCAACACTCTGTAAGCACAGAGTGTAACAGCGGTACAGTGTGATAGCACACGATGTGGATATTAAAGTTAGCAGTGGCCAATGTTTTATTGCAGTGAGCCAAGTAACACAGCTGATAGGGAAATTAAAACAAAGTACACCCTCATGTCCAAGTAACTGATGAATCCAAAGCAAAGAAGAGTTTTAATTTCACTGTCGCTTTGATGGATGAGTGACGAGTATACGGACACACATCAGCAAGGACATTTGTCTGGCATGCTGCAGCTGAGAGAGGATGAGTGAAAGAGGACAGAAACACCTCTTTAATGGACTTGTCAAAGGGAGTAACGCCATTACAAAGTGTTGCCAGTTGGGCGTATGCATGCATGCACGCAGATGAGCATGTCCCCTTGGCCGCACCCATGCACACACAGGCACTTTTATCCCCCACTTTACTCCACTCCGACACCCTGCGTGTAACCCCCCCAGGCATGGACGAGCGTGTGCCACCTGGTGTGACTGAGCAGACAGAAGAGAGTGGAGACAGTGAAGAGAGAAACTAAATTGGCTGTGGCCTCTGTCTCAGGAGTAGCCAGCCCCTGGGTTAGGTGCTATTCTTATAGAGGGCAGTGAGAGGTCTCCAGCTCCCCTGGTACACAAAGCACTTTATAGGATCCCACATCATGTTTTGATGGCCTCCTGGGATTGTGGGGGAGGTGTTATCCGATGACAAGTGTGAGAGAAAGGGAGAGGAAATTGAGCTTTGACGCAGGTGGATTTCTTTGTGGATAAAAAGGCAACTTCTAAGCGCAGTCGAAATGTCGGAATCCAGTTTTAATTCTCTTCGAATATGGAGCCCAAAGACTGACAATCACTTGGTAGAAAAAAAGAAGACAGCTTTATTTCCTTCTCTAATCAGTTGATGAAACAAATAAAATCTTCAGGTTCATATTCACATTTTTGGGTCTCTGCTAAAACATGTTTACATGCTTTAATGTTCAAAAAACTTTATTGTTCTCACACTGTCTGCCTGTACATACCTGTATTCACCTATGCCTAAAACACATCTGTTTTAGTACCTGTCTCTTTAACCCCCCCTTTAAGCCCAGTCTGCTCTGATTGGTCAGCATTTCCAGGTCTTCTGTTTCTTGATGTCTCTGCACCATCACTGCAACTAATAGTCCTCATTTAGGGCCATTAGACGGCAAGTCGCCCGTATATTTACGATATTAATGTGATTATTATATATTTTGGGCAGGGCAACAATGGTTTGAGTGCACGTCACACACTGAGCGAGCCGCCTGTTAATGACGCTGTCGGCAAAGTAGTAATGATTGTGCTAAGTGGCTAATGGGCATGTAGCTACTTCCATGTTTCTGGGTAGCCCTGCACTAAAATTATCAACTTTATCGTGTTTATTAGAGCGAATATTTACAGAAGAAGGGAAAGATATCTGTCGGCTGTGGTTGGTTTGTAATGTGACTCCTGTCTGACTGCTGAGCGTGGCCTCTTCCTGTGTCTGTCCTTTCAAATTAAATTCCCAGTCATATAGGTTTTGATTTATTTTGACAAGGTGCAGCTCCTAATAGAGTTTCACTTTTTTTCCCCTTCTTCCTGCAACTAAGCGACCAATGATGACCTTTCTGGTCGATGAATGTTTGGTCAACTATTAGGGGGAAGCCCTAAAAATTACTAACGTGTGCATCCAAGATTACATGTTTCCCTGATGTCAGCATGTAGCTACATGTAGCAGTGTATGTGATGTAAACACTGAGTAGTGTGCCTGGAGCAGATGACCATATAAAGAATCTGTTATGAATAACAGATCTGATGATATGATCATGTAATTCCTTTTTTATTTTAATGTTATCTGATCATCATTTGTTTGTCAGTTTTGGGGCTCCATATTACAAATGTGCTTGACATCTCTAAAAAGTGTAAACCTGGAGGGGATCATGCTTTGGTCGTGTGTGTGTGTGAGTATCTGTCTGTTTGGAGCTAACCTTGCTGAACTACTGGACCAATCAACCTAATATTTTGTTTGCACCTTTATGTCTGTTATATTCAAGGATCTCTTGTGGTTGTGGTGATTCACAACTGTTGAAAAACCTGTTGTTTGTTTTTCACTGACTGCTCGCTCCTCTTGATCAGTTGGGGCCACAAGTTTTCTGGTAATCAGCTTGGCTAAAACAAGCCATACCAGCTTGTTGCAGGTCACATTTTAGCCTTTGTCCTGGCTCAAAGACTGCATAGAAAAGTTTAGTCTCATATTAAAGTATATCATCTGCACCTTAATTCTATACCTGATATATTAAGATCCACCACAAGATGAATAAATCCCCATTATTAGTGATCTTCGCTGCTAACTTGACCATAAGGGAGCTGGGAGGGACAATGTCACCGGCCGCAGCTCTCCACGGTCCACCTGTGACCCCGTTTTGTTAAACACATCATCAAACCACATTGGGAGTGTGGAGCATTTTGCCTGCTGAGTACACTTTTCTATATTTTTTTAAATACATGAACTTACAGCACGCCTCTCGAGGCTCTATCACAAAAACACTGAAAAAGATAAGAAAAAATGACAGCAGGGATGACGTCAATCTTTAATGGCGGACGGCCTGAAATGTCTTCATTTAACATTTTCATAAAAACTCATTTTGATCACCTTTTTTTTTTTGGTTTCAAACAAACAAACAAACCTCTGCAATTCACTGAAATACAGTTTCTCCTTACAGCGGCTAAGGTACATAAATACCAACAGTACTGTATGCATTAAGAAAAAGAAAAGAAGAACACACACATGCCGTGAACATGCACAGAACACACAGGTACGCACATGGTATACTGAAACAAGAAAGGAATAGTTCTCACTGACAAAGAGAGGGGGAGGGGATCATCATATTCATTTCCAGAAACTTCTGTACCGCACTGCTGGCAACACACACAAAGATCCATTCGTTCAAAGTTTTTCTCTGGATTTCACAGTGAATTATGTAGGTAAAACAGTATTCATATATCAGATACAAACACAAAAAAGAAGCTCTAGAAAATTACCAAATGAATATACAATTAAACTTACAATAATACTTACAATGAATTATATGATGGGCATCTTCTATGAACTTTAAAAACATAATACCCATAAAAACACACACGCACACACACACCTTATAAATACTTGTTCTAATAAATTTGGTGCCACACTTGGCTTAAAAAATGTCTGTAAAAGCAAAACCTGCTCCAGAAAATCAGTCGGCAATATGTGCATATTATTATTATTATTCATTACAAACACTGACTATATGACTCAACCACTCCGATATGATTGTACACACCTGGGCTAAACATTACAGGGAAGATTGTTTTTCTTTTCTGATCGTCTCATCACCGAAGTGTGACTCGGCCCCGTCAGCAGAGGACCAGAACCGCTGTTTGTTTTTGTACGAATGCGACATGAATGAGGATTTTGGCGTCAAGATGTCACAGAAATATGATCACTCGATGATATGTCAAACAGCAAAGACGTTATTGCAGGCCCAGAATACACAAAGATTACAAAAGATTTTTTTTTTTTTTAACACTCCAATCATCACTATGTAAATTCAAAATTTACAAAAGCAGGTTGAATCACGTTGGCTCCCTAAAAATAGACAAAAGGGACAAATTGCTTAAAGTGAACATCCTTTCAGACGCGAAGTGGCTCTTTGGAGTGACACCAAAAGAGACATGCAGCAAAAATAATGTCATACTTCATAAGAAATCAGACTGAGGACTACAAAGCAGTCAAAAACGGAATAATTCCACTAGCCTAGATAGCTCTCCAGTGTAAAAAATAAAATGCTTTGGTCTTTTGTTTCTCTATACTGTGCTGCTGTCCTCCTGCTACACGATGAAGGAGCACGTTACTTATTATAGCAGGGCTCAGTTTGCTGTGTTTTGTCTTTAGGGTCACTCTACCTTCACCGGTCGACGGCTTCTTCCTGTCAACGCCTCTTTCAACACATCTGATTACCTCTAACTGTGAAATTAGGAGCTGGATCAGGTGTGTTTTTCTCACTCAGAGTCATCATGGACAAAGGACTAATATGTTCGTTTCATAAAGACGACACACATGAGCAAACCTAAATCCACACAGTATGTAGAAAAGACAAGAGCAAACCCACAGGACTGCTTTGGTATAGCAGGGGCGACTTACCATTTTATAATGGCACAAACAGGAAGGGCAAAAAAAAAATAAAAATATGAAAGTTCCTCACACACTTTAGCACAACATGAACCAATCAAACATTTCAAACATTGTCTTGATTACAAAAATACTTTTTTGTATTTCTTTAAAATATCTAAAAATGTACAGCATCATTTTTTTTCTTCTTTTTTTTGCAAAGTCATGCTTCAACATGTATTTAATAATCATAATAACATTAATATGAATGATATACAGAATAGTAATAATTATAGTCATATAATAACGTTACCGGGCAGCGCTTTAGCCACACGTTCAGAAGTCTGGCCTTGCAAAGTGGCTGCATAAAACGTGTTTTGCACTCCTTTGGCGGGCTGTCTTTTTACACTTGCATATACAGAATGCACAGCAAGAGTTAACGTCAGACAGGCGATGCAGTCAACTGGTAAACAAAGGGTGTGTGCGCCCTTGTCATGCATGCCCGGTACCTTTCACGGAGGTGTCAGAGGAGGTGTAGCCAAAGCGCTGCCGGTAAATCTAGAGTATGTAACAGTATAAAAAAGAGTTGGAAGGAGTTTGGGGGAGGGAGGGGTGGGGGCTTGATGTGTGATGGAGGCTGGGGTCTAGTATGTCCTGAGGCCCATGAGGCTGCTGTTGCCTAAGAGAGAGACAGACAGAGACAAGAAAAGGGGGTGAGGTTGCCATGGTCGCCGCACACGAACCTTGTACACTAATGAAAACACAGGGGGATCGTGTGGAACTGTTGCATGACACAAACACATTTGCACAGCTGTAAAAATCACACACACAGAAGGTACTTTATTGTGGGCACACACACTTACATACGCACAAAAACGTGTTTCTTGTTTTCCCCTCAATTTATCACACTTGCCTTTGAGACGCCAAGACCACACACACATTCATCCCACAAATATCTAACGCTGCAATCCTGGGTTTGTTTTCAAAACACTTTGTGTTGAGCAAAACCTGAAATGTACACAGATGAAAGTTGACATGCTGTCAATATGGCTTGGTGCTGCTGTGTTCATTCCTGCAGATATCTTTGGCAGTGCAATGCCATCTCCCCCACAAAAATATAAAAAAAAACTAGGCTTTCACAGCTTCTTCCACAAATCTACACTTTCAAATCAGACACAGTGCCGGGAGGGAGAGGCGAGGTGAGATTTACACCTTTTGTCCTCGCCTGTTGGGATCAATGGTCGTGAAGGCAGAGCCATAAAACTCACCGACGGTACGCTGCTCCGTGAGCCGGAGTCAGGTCAGTCCTCCTGGTTTCTAATTGGACACGAGAGGCAATCAGCAACGCCCGTCACAGCCGGCCACGGCCACCATCACACATCAGGAACCTGAGGACACAGCGGAGGCAGAGTGAACAGGCTGCAGGAGGGTTTCTGGTGAGGCTGGTTTAGGTTGATATATTGTATCCACCCACTATAGACTCAGGGATTTTTGAGTGTTGTGTGGTGTTATTTTAAAGGGTTAAAGAGTCACTGCCACTTTTGCCAAATGAGTCAAATTCAAGAGCTGCACTCAAACAAGACAGGACCTTATGATATGAAGCTCCTTATCACTGGCATGGCAAAGTACAGCTGTGTACAGAGCTGAGCTGAGTATAGCTATAAAGGAATACTCCGCTAATTTAGCATCACACTTCCTCTTAGATAGGGGGCTCAGAGAGGAAAGGATCCTACACTTCCCATAATGCAACTCAAGCTGTCATTAGATGCTCTCTGTCTGGTTAACGCCCACACCTTTTAAACTTCACCCCCAGGTAGGACTGCACTATTAACTGATTATTAATCATGACCATGATTTTGGCTACCCAAAATTATATGAACATGATCAAATGGGTTCTCTGCTCATAGAAAACTCTTCGCACTTCCTAAACTCATAGTCAGTCAGGCTGCTACCCGTGCACCCTGGAAGGACACTAAATTCAGACAAAGAGGAACCTCGTTTTAAGTCTTTTTTTGATGCACAGACTTGTAAAATAACAGGGATGCAGTACACACAGAAGTGAAAGCATGGCTCTGTTTATGCAAATGTGAAAGTGCAATGACAATATTTTGTCCCTAAAACCAATAAATAATCATGATCTCAATATTGACTCAAAAATCATGATTATCATTCTGGCCATAATCGTGCAGCCCTACCCTCGGTTTGTACTGCAGGCTTCCCGTGAAAGTAGTTAGTCTCCAAGCCCATGCTGAGATTACTCAAGCGATGTCTCTAAAGTAATTTTCTCAGCCTCAACACAACTCCTCCAGAGTCACAGAAGACACTGTACAAGTGTTTACTCAGAACACACTTAACCAGTAAACTGATTACCATATGTAAAATCAGCCGACTGCTCCATTAAAGAGGCAGTTTTGCTATCTTCTGCAAAATCTTTCGAGCTCAAAGTCCAGCTGTGACAAACAGGATGTCAGCTGACAACAGTCTTAAATACTTATGTTAAACTTGTGCCTAACAACCATATCTCCCATGATCCCTCCCCACCGCAGCTCCACTACCCGCCCCGCCAACACACTGAAGAGAAAGGTCAACCCTCCGACCCCTCAACCACCCCCAGATGTATCACCAAAAATAGACGTCTCTAAGAGACCGTGGTAACTCGGGTTCAGGGGGGGAGGCAGAGGAGGGGGGCTCTTTGGAACAATAAACAATTAGAAAACATAACATGACCTTAAGAGAAAGAAAGAAAGAGAGGCAGACTGTTGCAGGCAAAGAAGGGAAATGGGTTGGGAAGTGTTCCCCACTCAGAGAACAGTGCGTTTGAGGAAGGGGGCACGGCTGGCCTAGCTAATGCCCTGTTGCGCGTTCAATCAAGGGTGAGGGAATCGATGCGTTATACAGCCGCTCGGCTAAGCTGATGCGACGCATACTTCCAGACCACCCTATTTGTTCTGGCTGAGACGCCAAGGTTAAAGATTGGGTTGATCATTGAACATGTCTGTGCGGATTAGGGAAAGGTTTAGTGATTTGCGGGCTTAATGTGTTACATCCAATAACTCGGCCCAGGCGCATAATGTGAGATAGGTAAACAAGTAGTGTTTGAGAATGTGGGAGGCGACTGGGTTTCTCATGAATGTGTGCACTGTTTCCTTTTATTCAGCTCGGCTTCATGCAGCAAATATTCCTGTGTGTGTTATCAGTGATAACTGATCTCGTGCTGCAAATGAAGGGATGGCTTGTTCAAATTTATACCCAACACTTGACAGTGCTTTGCTTTAGCTCTACATGGTCTATAATATATGTTGAAGGATCACAATACAGTTCAACAAATTTACGACAAATCACTCAAAGTACATCTAACCCTGCTGCAAACACTGCTGTGATTTAGAAAGTTGAATTTTAGTTTTTGCGGTGTGTTCAAGTGCAACTTTTTAGCCGAGAAACACCCAACGTGAGGTAACGCAAGAGTTGGTCTTCATCACTACTAGTTCTTTGATGTTGGTTTGGTGTGACTGAGCAGTCAAGAAAAATGCATTGAAAAAATCCATTGCCCAAATTCAAATATAGTCAGGGAAAATGTAAACTTCTAATTCGGGAGCTAAAACTTGCACAAACACTCATATGGTTCTTAAAGATTTCTACCTGTGCAGCACGGCCATGAAAAAAAGCCCCGTCTGAAGCCCCTTTAATCCAGAGAAAAGCCTTCAGGCCCTGGCTGTGTTTCTCACATACCAGCTATAGCTGCTGGAGCTGGGTGGTGATGAATGCAGCTGCTGACATGTATCTAGCTCCTCAGACCTGGTGCAGGGACGAGGCCACGGTGTAGCTATACTGTATATGTGTGTGTGTGTGTGTGTGTGTGTGTGTGTGTCAGTAGGGGGTGAAGGAATAAAGTCCCACTTCCTTATTAGAAGGGGCCCCAGCTGGCCCTCAGCTCTCCAGTGGGAGTTAGTCCAACGTTGCACAGGAACCATTGGTTTTGTCGGGCTATTGGCCAAAAAGCTCCTCAGGGCAGGAAGCCAGACTACACACACACATACTCACACACACATTAGTCGCCCTCAGGTTCACACACAAGCATGCATGACACACACACACACTACACTCTCCCACCATGTCTTGTCAGATGGAAAATCCGGATTACCTTTCCCTCCAGTTCACTAGGCATTAATGTCCACTATTTGGTTGTCTTTGGATCTCGCTCTGTGCCGGAGCATGAATGTCAAATATAATTCTGGTTCACAAACATTCAGATGAATGACCAGCCTAAGCCTCCAGGGGTATTACAATAACAATAACTTACAACGTAATGTGTTTTTAAAGAGTCAACAGTGGGTAGCTACCTGTTTCAACTTGCATGAAGTGGCACTGCTGTAAGTAAACTTTTCAACATGTCACTTCCTCCGACAGGCAGGTTGCCAGGCGATTTGGACAACTTATTACCCGCGGTGACTAAAGACCCCTGAGCACTTCCTCACTTTCAGCTGTTCACACACACGTTCAAGTCTCCCACAGTTAGACTTCCTAAAGCGAGCCACATACTCTGTGAGAAGTCCCTGTACGTCAGATGCCGAGACAACCACTGACTGACCACAAGTCTCTCAGGACTGCGGAGCCGTAAGCTTCTTTGAATTCCCATTGTGAAGGTTCGCTGTCACCAGACGCCTTGAGCATGAGTAACAGTTCACCAGCGCTGCCTCTTATTCAATGCACACGAGCCATCAACAGCAGACAGATTGGACAATAGTGGTGCAACACAGACAGCTTCTCTCTGTAACCTCAGCTCAAGTTTATTCTTGTTGTCTTGCAGCTAAAATTCTTCTCAAAGTGTTTCACAAGCACTGTGCTGAACGGATTGCATTGCACAAATAAGTAACACCCTCGTCACAGCCCACATCAAGACATCAAGTAACTGTGTTCCCAACTTGTCTCTGCTGAACGGACATGAAGGGCCAAAAAACACAAGCTGTTTGTTTGCAAAGCTGCAAAATGTCAGGGACAAACAGAGCAGCAAGGCTAACTCAACACTGACTGCTGACTCTAGAAAATGACCAGCATTTTCTTCTTTAACTACAAGGGCACTCAGAGAGAGCAGACCTTTGCCAAGGCCAAATGCCCTATCATGCAATTTTAATGAAAGTGAGAAACAATTTGTGTATCCACCCCTTGATTCTAATCTGCTCCAAGATTTAGGGTTTGTTTGATCCGCACTAAACTCTTCCACCAAGTTTCATGAAATCTGGGCCAGTAGTTTTCTTGTAATCAAACCAGAAAACAAAACCTCCTTGGCGGAAGTAATTATGGTTACCATAAAGATAAAGTGAATCATACTAGAAGTCCTTTTTAGGTATGCGTTATCCAGACGTTGCGCTAGACTTTTTCATTGCAAGGTCATTTTGACCGACAGGGTCATAAAAATCCGGTCATAATCGATTTTTACCGGTCATTTTAATTTTCGTTTTTAAATTATAATAAAGATATTCAAAGACATTTAGTTTTCATTCATTCGTTAATCCAACAAGCAAGTTATAAAGTGTGCATTAATAAGGACATGAACGAAAAGATGAACAGACATGCACACACCCATGCCATCAGGCTTCGCCCTGGACACACCGGACGGCACTAACGCGTCACAAACACGTCCGGTGTGTCCAGGGCGTTATGTAGTTATGCCTGTAGGCTCGGTGACACAAAATTAAAATTGTAATGAAGTGATTAGGGTATTGAAAAATGTGTTCGGTTATGCACTGTTGTAAATTGCTGTTATTTGAAATTATAAACACGGTATTTTCTCCTCACATTCCTCAGTGCGTGCTGTTGTTATTTTATTTTGAAAATTGGCCGGATTCTCTCGTCTTTTCTGTGTCCGACTTCCTGTTTGGTACGATCTGCTCTATCCAGCTTGACAGAAGCGCTCGCGGCTCCCGTGAAAAATAGACCAGACGCCGAACTGAAGCGCTGCCTCCGCGGGCGCTCTGCTCTGCTCAGCAGCCTGTGTGGACAGTCAAATAGGTTAACATGGGCGCTGACTGAAAACTGCCTCCGCTGCTGGGCGCCGTGCTTCAGTTCCGCATCCGGTGTGTTCAGGGCGTTATGTCAACAATCCAGTATCTCTGGCTACATGAAGCAGATGAATGACTTTTTCTCTGCAGACAGTGTGAAAACAGCAGCCACTTAAACCACTGACTGTGCACTCCGCCGCCAAGTGGGCAGGGGTGGTAATTGCAACCGGTCAAACTGACCGACGGCCTTCAGATTTTCCGGTCATTGTTGTAAAAATCCGGTCAATGACCGAGAATATCCGGTTAACGCGACCCCTGGCATTATCTGATAAATCTCCAAAGCTGAGACCATGGTTCTCTGCCAGAAACTGGTGAATTGCCTGCTCAGG